GCCGTCGGGGAATAAAAGTTCCGCCACGCATCAACGACTCAAATGCGACGGAAAGCAACAGCATAACAGCGTTGAACTATGAAGGAATATTCCATTCCAAAGAGAATTGTTTCGTCTGATCTTTCCTATTTCTAAAGAAATTTTTCATTACTAAAGCCGTGTTCGCAATACAAGCGCCTTTGGCAAATAGTTTCTCATCTCTCCGGATCTACACATAATAAATTTGAAATTCTGTTTGGGTATACCGTGATGATTTTCATATTCATCATCTTTTTCCAGAATTGTTTATACGAGAAAATGAAAAAAAAAAATATGAGCCTACGTTTGATTCCACACTTGGCATGGAACAGTCTCGAATGACCACTATTATTATTATTATTATTTCATAACAATTATTATTATTTTCATGATTACTATTATCATTATTATTTTATTATTATTGCTCTTATTAATACCATCACCATTGTTATCATTATAATTATCATTTTTATTTTTATTATCATTATCATTATTATTATTATTGTTTGTATCATTATCATTATTATTATTGCTTTTATTATTATTATTATTGTCAGTGTATTAGTTATTATCATTAGCGTTATTATCATTTATATAGTCAGTATTATTACCATTATTTCAATCATATTCATTATCATAATATTAATAATAATAATAATGATAATAATGATTTTATTAAGTGTTGATAATGGTAATAATATCAATAACTGAAATGATGATCACATTGATAACAATAATAACTGAAATTATGTTAATAAAGTTAATAATGGTAATAGTAATAATGATAATGATGTAATAATGATTAAAGTAATAATTATAACAATTACTATCATTATTATCATTATCAGTATCATCATGAGTATGACCATGATTATCATCATTATTATTATCATTCTCTGATTATCGTCGTTACCATTAATATTTTTTATTATTATTGTTAATATTACCAGTGTCATCATTATCAATACTGTTAATATTTATCCTTAGTAGCAGTAGTAGTAGTGGCAATTATTATTATTATCATTACTATTATTATTATTATTATTATTATTATCACTATTATCATTTTCATTATCATTATTATTATTACCGTTATTATTGTTATTATCATTCATTATTATTATTATTATTGTAATCATCCTATTATTATTATTATTATTATTATTATTATTATTATTATTGTTATTGTTATCATCATCATCATCATCATTATCATCATCTTTATTATTACCACTTTTATTATCATGATAATGATAATGTTATAATAATAATGATAATAATAATAATAATGATAATAATAATAATAATAATAATAATAATAATAATAATAATAATAATTGAAATGATAATAATAATTATTATCATCATTATCATTATGACCATTATCATCATTATAATTTTCATTGTTTGATTATCATCGTCACCATTATAATTTTCATTACCATTGTTAATATTTCTAGTAACATCATTATCCTCACCGTGTGTATATATAGCACAAAGACTTTAGTATCAACTATATGATGGTTAAGGTACAAAGTACGCGTCTTCATGTAATGTATATGTATGTGTGTGTCTGTATGTATGATGATATATGTTCATGTATGTGTATGTGTGTGTGTCTGTATATATATATATATATATATATATATATATATATATATATATATATATATATATATATATATATGTATATATATACACATATATATATATATATATATATACAAGAATGTCTACGCACACACACACACACATAGATAGATAGATAGATATAGATATGGATATATCTAAGTGTGTGTGTGTGTGTTATTTTTCTCTTCTCCAACTATTTTGGTTTATTAATGCTTTCTTTTTGTTCCGTGTTCATCCTCACCCTGGACTCCTTCGAGGGGAAACTCATTCATTTTCTGCATGATGGCATTCTGTAGCCGAACGCAAACTATTAAAAACTACCACAGTCTTTTTTTTTTTTTTCAAACTAACATCAATGGAAGCTAAAAAGAAGTCTGAATGAAACAAATAACGTCACAGCGCGTTTAACTTTACCTTCACCAGAAGATTTAATTAATTACAAATATTGCGCTGTTTAAAGTTACGATTCCCACCCATATTTCTGAATACGTTTGCCGCAATTAATTCGGTTCATAATTCTAGTAATCCACGTTAATTGAACCTTTTGAATGTCTTTTTGCAAGCTACTGATGATTTGCAAACGGCTATATTTCTCGACAGATGCAATTTGAAGGGATTAAAGATAAGAATTTGTTTTGTGGAGAACAATATAAACTTTTTCACGAGGCAATTGACATGACTTCGATGCAGAGTAAGAGCTTACTGAAAGTGTTTTTAGCAATCTACTAGGTTATTGAGAACATGAAGAGTGTTGTATTATTTTTAAACTGCATTTCAATTATTATAATTACATGGGAAACTGCTACAACAAAAAAAGAAAATATTCTTTATTAAACGGTTATAGTGTAAA